TTTGCCTTTGAGTTGTTGAGAATGTTTTGGACTTAGAAGGAGGTAGAAGGAGGTACTAGGTAGGTTGGGAAGGAAGAAGAGATCTAAGCTAGAAGAAGAAATGACAAGAGGTATAACCCCATGGATTCCTTCTTTGTTTTGGCTCTGTGAAGCCTTGCTATTGAGTAGAAATGAGTAGAAATTATGAAATTTTGTTGTGTTTGTGCTTAGAAGTGATCTAGTATTTGCCTTTGAGTTGTTGAGAATGTTTTGGACTTGTTTGGATTGTTTTTGCAGAAGAAAATGCCATCTGGTGCGGCCCTAGCCGCGGCCCATCAGGAGGGCCGCCGGCTAGAGCCAGGGTTGCACAGGCCTAAGGCACGGCCCTAGGAGAGGCCGTTGCCTAAACCCGACGAGGTAACGGGTCTCATGGAGCGGCTCAGGAGGAGTCCCACCCCAGGTCCCTGAGTATTGATCTGAGAAGAATTTGTGCAGTGGCCGAGCCCTTGTGGCTCAGCTACGTGTCGATTCGGGCCAGGTGTTACGAACCTTTGTGGCTCGGCACTTTGGGATCGTCTCAACGCAAGTTTTGGCTTTGATTTCGTTGAATTTGGATAAAAAATGAGTATGATATGAAGGATTTATTGAAGAATTGCTACTCAGTGCATATTTGCTTAGTTCTCTGTGTATGAAAAATGCTTGACTTTGTAACCTGATGTTATTTTATTGAGTAGAGAAGCATGATCCATTAAGAATATGATTTATTATGCAAGCATGACTAATTTATGATATTTGATCAATGAGAAATGAAGCAAATTTTGTTGATAGAAATGTATAAAATTTGCTATGTTGCAAACCGAGCATGATTTTATATTCTTGAGTATTTTATGGTTTATTTACATGGTTTAGAAGCATGTTATAGAGTATTTAGCATCTCACATATGTCATATTTCGAAAATGCATAAGGGGCCAACGTGAGCCCAAATATTATTTTCAAAAAGCCATAAGCATGTGATATATCATTCTTTGATGCCTTGAGAAATAGTAGAGTTGTTGCATGTATGAGATTGATGCATGAGAGATATATTTATGTATTATCTATATTGGTGAGGTTTTGGAGGATACCGTTTGGACTATGTCCTCTCGGGAGATGTTTATGGACATTGCGGTCCCAGTATATGTAACACGGCGTATTCCCACGTTACAAGGTTGGAAACTGCCCGCCAGGCTTGGAATCCTGGTCAGGGGGTGTGCACACTAATAGTTCGATACCTGATTCCACAGAGAGAGAACCACGAGATTGGTTCCGTAGACGGTAGGAGATATTGGGTCGGATTTATGCCGCTCCCGATGGGGTAATTCACGCTTCGGTGAAACCCTAAACCATCTACGAGTAAAAGAAAGAAAGTGAGTCAAGAGAGACTCAAGAGAAAGAAAGTGAGTCAAGAGAAACTCAAGAGAAAGAAAGCGAGTCAAGAGAGACTCAAAAGTAAGAAAGAAAGTAAGAAAGAGACATCCACAGAAAGTACCATATTTTTACAAAGAGTGTATGAGTATACTCATAGTATTGCACGAGATTACATATGAGTATAGTATTGCACGAGATTGCATATGAGTATAGTATTGCACATGATTGCATATTAGTATAGTATTGCACATGATTGCATATGAGTATAGTATTGCACGAGATTGCATATGAGTATAGTATTGCACATGATTGCATATTAGTATAGTATTGCACATGATTGCATTTGAGTAGAGTATCTAATGAGATTACATAATGAGAATGTTGATTTAAGATTGTTCATCGAGCATGATTGTTTAGTTACATCTGAAGCCTTGTATATCAAGTTATGTGATGAGAATTTGAGAGCATGAGAACACATATTGTTTGGTTTTATTAGCATGATCCTACCTGTAAGAATGAGTTGCTTGTTAGGGTAATTGAGAAGTTTATATGTTGAAGTATCTAAGTTGTTCAGTCTTATATATATAAGCATGCCAGTTGATATTATAGGTTGCAAGCATCTAGAAAGTTTGTGGTAGCCCTAAAGATGATTTGAGATGAGTTTGTTGTTTACAAGAGAAATCAAATGTTTTCAAGTATATGCTATAATGCTTTACAGGGTTGAGTGTGGTTATACTTAGCTTCGTGCTAACGGGTGTTTTTCTATTTGTCTATGTGTTGCTTGCAAAACCCCTTTCAGATGGGCCCGACAGTGAGAAGTTAGATTAGTCTCGTAGTTTGAGATGTCTAAACTCTTTGTTTATGTTGATGACTTTGTTATCCAAATTCTAGACTTATGTTGATTTGTAGACTTCGAGGATGTAGGCTTTTGGGGTGACTTTTTTCCCCTTATGTTTTTCAGTATTTAATATGGATGTCAGATATTTATTTTATTTCTAGATCTACCCCTTAGCCTGTGCAATCACCACGGGATGGTGGTTGTGGCGGTGACATTCCCACTAGTTATCTTTTTAGTTATTAATTCCGCTGCTTAGTTTATGTTAATGTTGGATTAGATTTGTGATTAAGAGGTAGAAAAGTGAGGTGTTACTACATGGCATCACATTTGAACGGACATCTATATATATTGGACTTTGTATTCTAGGCACACTAGAATTCATTCTCTTTCTCCCCCATATTATCAGAAATATTACCATTTACCATTCACATCTCTTCGTATCCTTATAAATATGTCTTCATCATGTACTTAATATCATCATGAATTAATTAAAAATAAGATCAATCTTAGAACTATTGTTCTCATATATCTATAATTTAAAGTCCTAATACTTCCATCTTAACAAAGTTATATGGGTTGAATATTATATTTGGATATAATTGTTACACTTATTACTCTCTCTCTCTCACTAGCAATTATTGAATTCGCCTTTTTGATTTAAATCGATCAGCTATGGACAATCTAAGCATTTATATTCTTGTTGTCCTTTATCGACTAAAGTCATAAGGTTAGATTTATCGACGACATACCTTCGAATAGTGATTGTGAGTACTCTTATCATAAAAAAAATACTATGTAATAATATAACAATCGTTATACCGTCATAGCACTGTGCGCCCCGCGCCTCCCAAGACGACGTCGTTTTGTTAAGTTGTTAAAAAAAATCATCTGTTTCGAATGCACATAAACTCATAACAGAATACACATAAACTCATAATAGAATACACATAATCTATATAATACATAATACACAAACTTTTAACTGAATACACATAATGGGGTTTGATTAACATAATACACATAAACTCTTACTGAATACACAAACTCATTACACAATACACATAAACTTTTGACTGAACACACATAATGGGGTTTGGTTAACATAATACACATAAACTTATAACACAATACACATTATAACTGGTATATGATATGTTTACATTATAAACTGCCAACAATATAACTGGTATATGATATGTTTACATTATATTTTAACCAATAAGCCCAAAATACATACATGATAGTCTTAGGATGGCAAATTATATCATGCACCACGGTGCATGATCAATCATGCATCGCGCGTCAGACACTACAGTGTGTCTAAACCGACACTGTCAAAACGACGTCGTTTTATTTAATGAAAAGTAACAGAATTTTCGTAGAAAATAACTCTGTTCTTTAGTTTCATTTTGTATACACTGCAGTTTCAGTTCAACACAACTATAGTTTCATTTCGATATAACTACAGTTTCATTCAATATTTATACACTCAAATATGTGAAAATGTTATTTAATTTTATTTTATATACACTATAATTTCATTAAAACACAACTACATGATCATTTCAATATAATTACAGCTTCATTGTACATTATACACTCAAATATGTGAAATGTTATTCAGTTTCATTTTATATATACTGTAGTTTCATTTTACCACAACTATAGTATCATTTTGATATAACTGTAGTTTCATTTGATAATATAAAAATAATACGTGAGACAGCGTCGGTTTGGACACACTGTAGTGTCTGACGCGCGGTGCATGATTGATCATGCACCGTGGTGCATGATATAACAACCGTCTTAGGATCGCATAGTTATGAATGGCCCAAGCAGCCAAATTTGGGTCAAATCATTATTGTGTGAATGGTCCACACAAGCTCTATGGATCATGGTTTAAAAAAAAAAAGCTCTATAGATCATATTTTGTATACTGTAAAATAATGTACATTCAATACAAAAATAATGTACTTTAAATATTAAAAATGTAAATTGTATTAAGAGAATGTACATTATTTGTATATTGAGTATATGTTATATTATGTAATGTACATTCAGTACACAAATAATGTACATTTTGTATATTAAAAGTTTACTTTTTGTTATGGTCCACACAATAATTTGTCATTTACATGAGTTTAATATTGGTAAATAAAAAAAAAAAAAATTTAAAACTTGTATCTCGTTTAATAAGAAAACTAAGTCTAATCAGTTTGTTTAAATTTATTTTGACCAAAAATAATAACATAGTGCTACACAATTTTTTTTTTTGAAAGTTACTGGCTCTATTACATTGTAGTATCTGTTCATGTACTTTCTCAACCTACTGAAACACAAAGAACCAATAACGCCTCCACTGAGGCTTGAACTCATAATCTTCCAAATGGAAATCCAACCCGAATACCATTAGACCACATAGTCCTGGTAGTGCTACACAATTTAAATGGTCTTACTTTAAATATTTCAATTCTTATCTGAATTTCCTATTTTCTGGGGGTAAGCAAAAGTTTAAAAGCGGAGAAAACTAAACAGTTATGATATATGTGTTGTAACAATGACAAATGGCACCACAAACATCACAAATCTGCCACCAAATTCTCCTCTCCAATCTTCCCCAAACAGACTCTCCGCAAATAAGCCTAAAACACTGCTCACAGTTCTATCAATTTCAATATAAAAGCTTACCCCCTCACCAAGAACTAAACACACAAAAAAAGAGTAAATACCAAGAAAATAAAACAACAGAAATAAAAAAAAAATAAACTCCGAAAAATGGATTCCAAGATCATATTCTTCTCCATCACCCTTCTGTTCAGTAGTGCCACGGCTATTGACATCACCGCCGTCCTTGGCCAGTACCCATCTTTCAGCACCTTCAGAAGCTACTTATCTCAGACCCACCTAGCTGACGAGATCAATGCACGCCAGCCGCCTTATACCATTTTGGTGGTCGACAATGATAACATTGGCCCTCTATCTGGGATGTCACCAGATGTGCTGAAAAAGGTCATGAGTGTTCATGTGATTCTTAATTACTTTGATGCTCAAAAGCTCCACAACTTGCCGGGTCAAGGTGAGTTGGCGACTACGCTCTTTCAGGCGTCTGGTCAGGCTGTGGATAATCAGGGGTTCCTGAACGTCACGAATTCGGGCAAACAGGTTGTGCAGTTTGTTTCTAAAGCTAAAGGTGCTGCCGTGTCGTCTTTTATGGTGAAGCCGGTTGAGACTCGGGCTTATGACTTGTCCGTGTTGCAGATCAGCAATGTCATTATTCCTTTCAGCGTTTTTAAGACTGCAACTTCTCCCTCATCGTCTCCAGTTACAACTTCTTCTCCCTCATCGTCTCAAGTTACAACTTCTAGCCCTGCCAAGTCCCCTGTTTCTGGCCCTGCAAAATCTTCTCCTGTTTCCGGCCCTGCCAAATCCTCCAGCCCTGCAAAGTCTCCTGTTTCTGGCCCTGCCAAATCCTCTAGCCCCACAAAGTCCCCTGCTTCTGCCCCTGCAAAATCTTCCGGCCCCGCAAAGTCCCCAGTTTCCGGCCCCACAAAGTCTCCGGTTTCTGGCCCCACAAAGTCTCCGGTTTCTGGTCCTGTTTCTGCCCCGGTTTCCGGCCCCGCAAGGTCTCCCATTTCTGGCCCCGTTTCTGGCCCGGCCAAGTCCCCCTCTGCTAGCCCGTCTAGTGCACCGACTAGTAGCCCAATATCATCTCCAGCATCAAGCCCGACTGGTAGCCCAATATCATCTCCAGCATCAAGCCCAAGGAAGATGTTGTCACCATCTCCATCCCCATCAGAGACTGACACAGAGACTGAGACACCAACTGAAGCACCAGAATCTAGTGAAGGATCGCCATCTCCATCCCCATCGAACACACCAACTGCACCATCAGAATCTGAATCTAGTGCAGAAACTCCTGAATCTACTGATTCCAGTGTTGGCACGGCTTTGGGGGTTAGTGCAGGCATTATTGCAGCAACAATCTCATCAAATCTATTCCTCATGTTGATGGCTTAAGGAACGGAGCGGAGGAAATAGGTTTGTGGGTACACCCAATAAAGTCTGTCTGATTCCCTTTTTTTTGGCATCGCACTAGTACACAATGGGACGAGAGGCGTAGTTGCCATAACAGCCAAGCATGAATATTGTAGACCAGATTGATACAGTCTACTGAGAGGCTGCATTGAAGAATAAAATGGTTTAATTTGAAGCCTTTGAAGCCTGATGAGGATATTTATGGTTTCTGCAAAAAGATGACTGCCCAATTTGGATCACCTAAGCTAAGAGCTTGAAGTTGCTTGGAGTTCATAGATTAACACTCTTCATTGTTTGTTTTCTTGTAACTCTCTCCCATTCACCCCAAAGGAATAAAAAACAGTTCTACATGGTTTTACAAACCTGTGTGAACTGATACTACATTTGTATTGCTTATCAAGAAAGGACACGTTATTTCTATGAACAGTGTTTTCTCATGTGCCTAAATCACTGCATGCATCTAATTTTCTTGCTATTTTTGACCATATTTTGTATACGGTATAATAATGTACATTCAGTACAATAATAATGTATATTATTTTTGTACTGCATGTACATTATATTGTATAATGTACATACAATACAAAATTAATGTACATTTAATATATTAAAAATGTACTTTTTGTTATGGTCCACACAAAAATTTGCCATTCGGCGCAGGATAAATATTAGGGGGCGTTTGGTTCAGGTTATATTATATAACCAAGGGAATGTGACATTCCCGAGCTTACATTCCTATGTTTGGTTCATTTTCTCTGAGGGAATATAACATTCCCAGGGAATGCAACATTCCCTCCACATAGGATTTTGAAGGGAATGTGATTCCCTTCATTTTGTTAGGTAATGTAGGATAACCTTGCATATTTATGAATTTTGTCATTTTAATTCTAATTATTTAAAGATATATATTTTATGTTAGCTTATATATATATATATATATATATATATATATATATATATATATATATATATAAAAGATAAGATAACCCTAAACCAAACATAATTATATTACATACCTCAATTTTAACCAAACACAGGAATCTAACATTCTCAGTAATCTAACATTCCCAGCAATCTAACATTCCTAAGGTAATCTAGCATTCCGTGAACCAAACGGCCCCTTAAAGTTTATAGGCTGCAAGTAGTCATCAATCAGGGTGCATGCATGATTTTCAACTGGCTTGTTGGTAAAATATTTTGTTTCTTAAAAGCAAAACTTAAATTTGTATATCACATGAAAATTATATCTAAATTCTTAATTAATGTTGATAATTTAATTTAATACTAAATTATTTATATTTTTATATTTTGTGATAATTATTTTCAAGTATGCATAATAATTGTCTTCCAATATTAACAGGACTTGTTAAAATTTCAATTAAAAAAGTTTCATCTCTTATCATACCAATATTTGAAATGGTTTGTGTTCAATCACTGCTGTGTTAAATTTAACTTTTTTCTATTTTATAATAACAATCAAAATTTTCAATTTTATTTTAACAGATAAAAATTCCATTATGATTTAACAATCAAAGGTTTTTTCAGATACCAAAAGTGATAAAATCAAATAATACATGACATGTCTTCATATCATCATGGTGATGTGGTTATATGATGATTCAAAGTTGAGAATTGTGAAAGGACCTTGTGGCCCAATGATATTCTGTTGCTCCCTTAAGTGGGAGAGTGATAGATTTGAGCCTTAGTTGAGGCAATTAATAGTTTGGGTATTCCCCTTCCCTTGTAATAAAAAAGAAGTTGACAATTGTGTTTTTTAAGTTTTAATTACTAATAGGGTAAAAAAATGACTAATTAAACTGTATAAAAGTTACTTTGACTTTATTTATTTATTTATTTATTTTTTTTTTTACATTTTAGTATCTGTTCATCTATAATTTCTCACATATTGAAATACAAAGAGTCAACATCGCCTCCACTGGACTCAATCTCATGACCTCCCATATTGGAGAATCACTACTACATGATCTGAACACAAGATGTTTGGCCTAAGATTACTTTGACCTAAGATATCAAAATGAAGATAATGGCTTACCTAAGATATCAAAATGAAGATAATGGCTTTTGCATATTCATGCCATGCACCTTTACAACAAGTTTGGTTGGCTGTAATTGTAATTCTTTTATACAATCTAATTCTTTATCATGATAAACTATGGTGTTTGGTTGGAAGAAATTGCAATTTCATTGAATTGTAATTTCTTCCTTTTGCTGAATTACAATTCATGGGCACTCCCCCATGAATTGCAATTCGGTGATGTGAGAAAAGGAAAAAGAGATGAAATGACAAATGAATCCTTAGTTGTTATTATTATTATTATTATTATTATTATTATTATTATTATTATTATTATTATTATTATTATTATTATTATTATTAATATTATTAATATTAATATTATTATTATTATTATTATTATTATTATTATTATTATTATTATTATTATTATTATTATTATTATTATTATTATTATTATCATTATCATTATTATTAGAGTAAACACCCAAAATGGTCCATCGACTATAGCTAAATTCACAAATTGATCATCGACTTTCAATTTTAACCAATTAAGTCATTAACTTTGCAATTTTGACACGATTTGGTCCTCCATCTATTTGACAATTTGTTGACCGCGATCTTTGAGGATATATATGTAGTTTCACGTGCAAAGCTCAAGAGAACGCTCTTGGAGGTGACATCGTTGTTTCGGAGGGGAAAGTGCTTCTCCGCTTGCTGCTTGAGGATCACGAGCCTGTTCAGCTTAGAGAACGCGAGGTGACAGCGCCGTTTCGAATGGGGGAAATGCTTCTCCACTTGTTGCTTGGGGATCCCGAGCCGGTTCAGCTTGCCTACATCGCTTGGAGTCATGGCTTTCTCGAAGAGCCACTCCAGGGACTTCGGCGCTATTTATCAAAAGCTATAATCTCTCCGGCATGGGGTGCAGCGCCGACAGTGGATTCAAATGTAACTGTGCGGTCTAGAAATGCAACCAGAACCTTAAAAAATCGACGATGGACCATGAAATTACATATATATCCTAAAAAAGTGCAATCAATAAACAGTCAAATAGACAAATGACCAAATTATGTTAAAATTGCAAAGTTAAGGACTTAATTGGTTGAAATTAAAAGTCGAGGACTAATTTGTGAATTTAGCTATAGTCGAGGGACCATTTCTTCTTCTTCTTCTTCTTCTTCTTCTTCTTCTTCTTCTTCTTCTTCTTCTTCTTCTTCTTCTTCTTCTTCTTCTTCTTCTTCTTAACGTAATTTAAATTACTACTTTATTCTGAACCAAATGATGCCAAACGCCCTGTAACATCATTTTCTCATAGATAGAAATGTCAAAGCCTTCATCAAGTTTCTCAACTAACAAACTTAGCTTCATTTCTCTAGAAAGCCTTCGTACATCTCAAAGTGTGATATCAACTCTACTTGGTAAATGAAGTAAGACAAAAGCAAAAGGTAGCCATTAAATTGAATTGTCGATCTCATTAGGCACACTAGCCATACAGTTGATACAAATATATTCAATAATATTCACTTACCCAATGTGGATTTACGAATATTATTGGATAAATAAAATAACATATATAAATTATTGTAAATATATATTATAGGGAAAAGGGTCAAATAGGCCCTCAAACTTTAGCTTAAAAGTCAATTAGGCTCCTAAACTTTTTAAATGTGCAATTACACCCATCAACAATTCATTTAAGTGCAATGAAGTCCAAAAACAAATTAATGAACTGCTATCACAGGTCATTAGGGTTCAGGCCACCTTCCGTCGAATTTTCCGGCAAAAAAAAAAAAGAAAAAAAATGACCGGCGAAATTTTCGACAAAAGAAGTGACCGGCGAAATTTTCGACAAATTTGGGTCAATTGCTGGTCACATTTTTTTTGTCGAAAAATTTGCCGGAAGGTGGCCTGAACCCTAATGACCTGTGATAGCAGGTCATTAACTTGTTTTTGGGTTTCATTGCACCTAAATGAATTGTTGATGTGTGTAATTGCACATTTAAAAAGTTTAGGGGCCTAATTGACATTTAAGTTAAAGTTCGAGGGCCTATTTGACCCTTTTCCCTATATTATATGGCCATTATCCTTATTTTATTGGGAGAAGTGTCAAATAGGTCCATCTACTATTGCGAAGTGTTCAATTCTCACCCTGAACTAAACTAAGTGTCAAATAGACACATCTACCAGCTAAATTTGTTCGATTAGCTTTTTTTGCAAGTTTCTAACAAGTTGCCTATTCAATTATTAAAAAATTTGAAACTTGCTTCTTAAAGGTGCGTTCTTTTCTCCCTCCATTTTATTTACCTTATCGCTGTATGCTTCGAATTGTTTATTTCAGTTAAAATCCAGGAAAAAAAAATAAAGTACATATCGAAGGCTTAATGGGTAATCAAAATCCTATGGAGTTCACGTATTGTGTAATATTAATATATAGATAGATGTCATCCATATTTTCATTCCATTTGATGAATGCTTTTCGATATCTCAAGTGGATTCAGTATGATATGAACAATTATCTATGTTTCTAGATACGGAAGTTGAAAAAATTGGGGATATTTTACACATTTGGTGATTGTTTATTGATTAGTTGAAGTGCATATCGAAGGCTTGGTGGGTGATTGAAAATTTGAAAGTTTGAAACCTAGAATTTTTTATATATATATTTTTTATATATATTTTTTAATAATTGAATAGGCAACCTGTTAGCAACTTGCAAAAAAAGTCAATCGAACAAATTTAGCTGGTAGATGGGTCTATTTGACACTTAATTTAGTTCAGGGTGGGAATCGAGCACTTCGCAATAGTAGATGGACCTATTTGATACTTCTCCCTATTTTATTTCCTTTCTAATTGGATACAGTTCCCCACGATTGTATACATACATACACATACATATGTTTTGACTTTTGAGCATTGTTTCACAACATTCATACGAGGAAGAGTTCGA